AATATTACGTATGATGCAGCCCGGCCGCGCTATTGCCGGCTCACGCTCAACAGAGATATCGAATTTCACTTTTGCGCATGTTCGGCAGATCTACTGGAGTTCCCATAGACAAGGCATAGTATCGGGTCGGCAGGGCTATTGGCGCAGTTCGGCCAATCTACTGGTGGTAACGTTGTTTCCGAACTACTTTGATGTTTTGGGGGTTTAAGTTTAGTCTTGCAAAGCAAGGCTAACTATTAATTTTTATATCATAAAAAATTTTAAGTAAAGACAAAGGATAGAATACACAATTTATTATACATAGTCTGTGAGATTAATTAGAAAATACAACTGCGAATAATAATAACTTGTAACTACATGTACATTCAGATTTTTGATTACGTCTTGCAATCTTCACGAATGATGCCGGTGGTCCAGTGCCTCACTTCACAGTTCACAGTAATAAGCATACTCACCTAATTGGCAAAAATTAAGCTTGACATTAATACAGATCGCGCGCTTAATTCTCTGATTTATTGTCGATAAAGTGTGCCGAGGCAGCTGCATCTGACGTTGCAGCCTGCCCGCGCTATGCATACAGCAGCTGCTTGCGCTCATTAGAAGTGTCAAGTCTCACTGTTGCGCCGGTTCGGCCGATCTATTGGAGTTCCCATAGGCAATGCATAGGGTCGAGTCGGCAGAATTGTGGGAGCAATTCGGCAGATCTATGGGAGAAAAACCACTTTTCTGCCGGGCTCGCCAACAGTCAACAGGCCAATAGATCTGCCGGCTACAATTGATAATGGACGCACTGTATTCTCGGCAGAATATGAATTAAGCAACCGACTGCGACGTGGTCAATAAAGCGCAACCGATCCTTAGCAAGTTCTTAAGAATCTGGGTCAACATTGCTCCGGCGTTTGTTATATAGTTACCGTATCCGCATTTGCTAAGAAAAATTATGACTACCGGAAAAACGCACCTTCATCGAGCGGAAATAGCTGGCGCTGGAAAAGTGCCCAGTTGGAAGAGAACATAGGTACATAGCGAAAGCACTGATGCCTAATCAGGCTGCCTTGTGGTGAGGGGTTGAGCGCTGCTCTGTGTCGCTTCTTTTGACCATGTTTTTTTGTATTTTGGATACTGACAGCGCTGACCGGCAATATGCTGACCTGTTGGACCCTATAAAGGTCATCGGGATTGTAATCGTGTTTTTGATGCAAGGGTGTCCGAAACGTCCGTAACAGTCGTGTGGGTCAATATAGTGCCGTCTTGCCAACTGGTTTTCGATTAGATGATTATTATTTTACACTGAGACTAAAACACGTTCGGGCGGCTATGCAATCCAGTTACCGTAAAGAATAAAGCGGTGCACAATAACGGTGTAATTTTGATAAAAATTTCACAACGATCGGTTACCCGGTCGGGCAGTCAGGATTTTGATGTTCAAGATACTTGTGTCTGAAAGTTTCATACAGGATTTTGAATGCCAAATTCTGTAGCAGCCAGATTTTAGAATTTAATTTCTCCATATAACATATCAGTAACAATAAATATTTCTACAAACTAATAGACATGATTCTGCCGGGAAAATGATGGATTTAACTGCACTTGCGGCGCCTTCAAACAATATCAAACTTGTGTTACAGTACAGAATACGCATTACTTCGCTCCCTTGTGATACGCTTTGGTTGCACTAGAATCGCAACACGGAAGATTTTATTACTTTGTGTATAGAAACAATCCTTACAACAGCAAAAACTATCCGGTAGAGCTCCCATCAGTACAAACAGTATCTACGATGCAGTAATAATCATTCAAAAAATAACAGCAGCCTACACTCTTACACTGCACCATTACTCATAATATTGCTATACAGAAATTCAGTTGTACTCTGTATGTATGTATGAAGTTAATTGTTAAATTCACGCTTCATGCGACAGCTGTTCAGAAGCGAGGATGCCGTCCAACATGTCCAATACAACAACCAACTACTCTGATCTCAGCGTCTCGGCTGTGTCCGTAGCCGTATTTGCTGCCGTGAAGCTGCTACTTAACGGATGCCTGTTATTGCTCTTCGTGACACACCGAGACCTGCGTAATCCGTTTGCCGTTTATCTCATGAATCTGTTGTCCGCTAATATCTTCATAACACTGGAGGATCCTCTGATCGTTTTGGAACTGCTACAGCAGCGCTGGTACTTGACATCCGTACTGTGCAATATTAGAATCTACCTGGAACAAATGGGCAGTGCTCTGACTGTGCATGCGCACCTTATGATTACGATCAATCGCGTCTGGGCGTTGAGTCTCCCGATTAGTTATCGAAATTTACACACACGAAAACTGGCGTTTCTGCTTTGCTTGTTGCTGCTTCTGTACTGCCATGTGCTGCTGGCGCCTTATTTGCTAATCGACGCGTTGTATTTCCGACCAAATATGAATTGCGCAGCTAAGTGCGTAGTGGTTAGTAAAGCGCAGCCGGTACTTAGCAAATTCATCAAAATCTGGATCAACATTGCCCCGGTGTTCGTTGTTCTACTATCGTATCCGTACTTACTATGGAAAACCATGAATACCGGCAAAAGAAGCTTCCGCAAAGCAGAAACGGTTAAACATGCGCTCAGCAGCCATAAATATGGAAGTGGAGCGAAAGAGAACCGGCACGCTTTTTGGATATTGACGGCGCTGACCAGTAGTATCATGGTTTGTTTGATACCCACAAAGATAATTGGGATATTAGCCGTTTTCTTCGATATGCAGGTCCCGGCAGTCTTGGTAGTCGTATGCGCGGATATATTGCCTGCGTGTCAGTTTGCATTGGATCCGATTATTATTGCGTGGACGGTGGAAGACATCAGGGGTGTCCTGCAATCAAGTGTTTCTAAATTTAGGCGCTTTGGAAAAGATGGTTCTGCTGCAAGGAGCTTACTGTTGAAGAAACTGGGTAAAACACTGTAAAGAGTAGCAGGTGTTCTTTCTGCGGCAGATCTTCCAATGCTTTGGCGACATTCGTAACTGAAATATTCGTAAAATGGCAATACAGAAACGGATAAAAAATACTGAATGTTATGCCTAGTAAATGTAGATTTTTTCGGCCATAATGTGTCAATATAATGCCTGAATGTCAACTGATATTGGATCCCATTCTCATTACACTGAGTCTAAAAGACGTTCGTGCAGCTGCGCACGACCTTCTTCCAGTAAAATAACTGGAGCAAGGTAACACAAACATTTATCTAATTGAAATTTTGTAATGAGGATGCTATTGGCATGGTCTGGCAGCCCACCAATTTCGCTGCGATTGCAATTTTCATGAAAGATTTTAAATATCAACCTCTGCAGCAGCCAGATCTGAGAATCAATTTCTTCATGGATATAAAATACTTTTGGCAGTAAAGATCATAACAAACTTTTCTAACACAGATAATTCCACCGAGACTATGACGGGATTAATTTTACCTACGGCACCTTCGAGCTTAGAATACAGCATAGAACGCAAACTGATTGATTCGCTCCCCTTGTGATACGCTTTGGCTGCGTCACAACCGCACTACGAAAGATTGTCTTCCCTTCGTGTATTAAAATATGCTTACAACAGCAAAAAAAAATCCTTTAAAGCTCTCATTAGTGCAAACAGTATTTACATAAGATACAATAACAACCATCCAAGAAATAACAGCTGGCTTAACGCAGCATCAGCCGGCTTCACGCAAAGCCGCAACATCACCTGCATAACTTACTTGTGATATAAAATCGGTACCGGTATAAAAGTTTAATTGCGCCTTTCACCCCCCTTGTGCCACCTGTTCGGAGGCCAGGATGGCGTCAAATATATCAAATACAACAGCCAACAATTCCGATCTCAGCGGTTCGGCTGTATCCGTAGCCGTGTTTGCTGCCGTCAAACTCCTGCCTAACGGATACCTGTTATGGATCTTTGTGACAAGCCGAAACTTACGCAATCCGTTTGCTGTTTATCTTATGAATCTGTTGTCCGCTAATATCTTCATAACACTGGAAGATCCCCTGATCGTTGTGGAACTTCTGCAACAGCGCTGGTATTTCACATCCATACTGTGCAATTTTAGAATATATCTCGAGCAAATCGGTAGTGCACTGATAACGCATGCGCACTTTATGATCTCCATCAACCGCATCTGGGCGCTAAGCTTCCCACTTAATTATCGAATACTCCATACAAAAAAACTGATGATATTGATATTGATATTGAAAGATTATGTAATTAATTATGATATTGAAAGTAATACTGTGACTTGCTGTCTAACCGGTTTGCTCTGTCGAGAGAGCTTGAGCACATTATTGTAAGCGTCGCATGAATGTAGAAGCTGGTTTTCTGGTCCTGCTCATCTTACTTTAGCTTTGGTGTTTCCTTTCTTAAGTACAAGACGAACCGTGTAATAGGTAAGTAACTTAAATCGAGCGTTCGCTCAGATAATCCCAGTCATAGCTGCATTGGTGACTATGAATCCTTATCCAGTGTACAGCTACATACCTAGAAGCACGCTCGAAGCGCTAAAATAAGCAATCTGCGCTGAACTTACATCATCGCTTTGTTACTTTGAGGTTAGAAAAGACACGCCCATTAAAACTATAAAACACAGAAAAACCTAATAAAACTTTAAGCGCCACAAACGGACGTTATTATGGGATTCTGTCCCCATGGATTCTCTAACCAAACAAATAGTTCGCGCCGGTCCCCGGTCAATTCGGGAATTACTCGGGTGGTTTGGATACCTTAAGGGAAATAGAATGGTCAACTATACCGTTAAATAAACTAAAGATCCATAAAATTCATCGTCATTCTCCATCATGCTTTCAAATAATATTATACCAGTCAATAGTCCATTATGCCTATTATTACACTGCATGGATAATGAGTACTAAAACTAAAAACGGTAGTATTGTTCATTTGCAGTGGATGCATGAAGTTGGACAGTTAATGGAATAAAAGAACATCTAATGAAACTTTTCCTCTCTAAACTCCACTTAGTCGAATGATGTCTGCCAATAATTCCACATTTACCAACGACGAATGGAAAGGTTCCACAACGCTGCTAGTAACTATGACGGCGCTGACCTTATTAACTAACGGCTACGTACTCATTTTATTCGCGATGCACCGGTCCCTGCAAACATCCTTTATTGTATACGTCAGCAGTCTTTTATGGTCCAACATCTTCGAGACGCTCTTCGATTTAATGGACATTATGCAGTACGCACGATATCACTGGTACTTCACATCTACCTTATGCAATTTCCGCATTTACGCTCAGTGGATAACCGGCGCTGCCGTGGTCCACAGCCACTTCATAATTACCGTCAATCGCCTCTGGGCGGCGACGTTCCCTCTACACTATCGCAACTACCATTCCCGTAAAATAGCGATTCTCCTCTGCTGGCTTGTAGTGATCTATTATCATCTATTAATCTGCCCGATGTTAATCATTGACTACGTTTATTATCGCCCGAATATGGACAACGTCACCGATTGCGACGTGATCTTCAGTGCACAGCCGCAATACGCGGGCTTCATCGAGATTTGGATTTACATTATGCCGATAGTCATCATGTTGCTGTCCTATCCGTATCTGCTGTGGAGACGCAACCAGGTCAAAATTTTCCGGGTTCCACCAGGACACGCCGGTGCTCTGGAGAAGCGGGAAGCCGTTAGCGGCGGCCAGCACGGATTTCGGGTTTTGACCGTGTTAACCGGGAGCATCGTGGTGTGTTGGACAACGGTCAAGACGCACTGGATACTGCTAGGTTTCTGCGGTACCAATTTACCGACTCTGCATTTGGTTGGAAGTGCTCTGTACTCAGTACAGAGAATCATCGACCCGATTCTGTGTGTGCTGGCTTTGGAGAAGTTTCGGTGGGTCGTAAGGGAGCAAGCAGAGGAATGCTTTCGTCTCCGAAAACGATCAAAAGTTACATAAGCAAGAAAAAACAAGAAGCAGCAGCAAATGATTTCGTCATTCTGGATGGCGGCACATCGGTTGCCAGTTGAGACGTGCAAACGTTCTTGTTATGTTTACTCAAGACAGCTGAAAACGGCGCAAACAGCTGCACAACCGTTAATATCATCACCAACCGAAAAAGGTGTATCTTTGACATCAACAACTACTAGTCCATCCTGAACGTAGTAGTTAGTATTTTAGTACGGTTACAAGAAAACGATCGCTCTACTAAACTATGAATGTGTACACTCACTGAGGAAATTGGTTCCTTTAAAGGGTACCAACATGACTGGAAACATTTCCAATATTACCGATTTCCATTCCGATTCGTCGACCGTAATTTTAAGCGTCTTTGCTGTAGTGAAATGCTTACTAAACGGTTATCTGCTGTTGGTTTTCCTCGATAACAGGAGCTTGCGAACATCGTTTGCCGTGTACCTGATTAATTTATTGGTCTCTAATATTTTCGTAACTCTAGGAGATCCCTTGATTATTTTAGAAACTGTGCGACTGCGCTGGTTTTTTACCTCAGTATTGTGCAACATCAAGATTTACTTGGACCATATGGGAAGCGCTTTAATCCTCCACGCCCACTTTTTTATAACGCTGAACCGCATCTGGGCGCTGGCCTTTCCTCTCTCATACCGCAACTACCATTCCAAGCAAATCGCTGTCATCTTCTGTCTTTTAATGGCGCTGTACTGCCATTTATTATTAGCGCCGTTATTATTGATCGATTTACTTTTCTATCGACCTGATATGCAGATCGCCACTGAATGCGAAGTGGTCGGCAGCACCCAGCCGGTTCTGCGAAAATTTCTAAAAATCTGGATAAATACGGTACCGATGGTGATTATTGTGTTATCCTACCCGTATTTATTATGGCGAGCCAAGAGCACGGAAAAAAAGATTCCACCACAAATAGATAGTGAAATCACCGGGCAAAGCATGGACATCCTAAAAGGAAAAGCAGAGTCAAGAGAAAATCGGCACGCTTTCTGGGTGCTCACCGTTTTAACCGGCAGCATTCTGGTATGTTGGACGCCGGCAAAGGTCATCAGTATCGTCAGGGTGTTTGGGGGCACTAAAATGCCAGGATGGGTTGACGTGGCATTTGTCGATGTATTATTCTCATGCCAGTTGATTCTTGATCCTGTTTTGTTTACGATTTCGTTGAAACGTCTGCGTATCAAAGTCATAGCGCATTTACAGCGTTTCTGTTGCCGTAAAAAAATTACCGTAATTTGGGGTGTTAATCATTTGCCCGCGAATACAAGCCATATTAAGGCTATCATGTTTTATGAAAATTATATGTGGTATTCCACAACAACGAATCAGTGAAACACTCAACAGGCATGGCACAAAATAATTTGTGAAGTCCGAGCAAATTGATCTGAGCAGTTTCTTGGCTCTGGAAATCACGACTTAAGACACAAAATATTTGTAAACGACTTGTGAGCATACGAATCAATTTGTTAATCCCTAAAGTGGCGCGCATACAGCGGTATCTTGTAAGACAGATGCTTATATAATTAATATAAATGCATCAACGCACTCTCCATCGCAATTTCGGAAAATATCTTTATATCTCCAAACATTGTCTAAGGTAGCTTGTTGCTTCAGTAATTTACAGACTGCGTATCTAAAAAAAATCATATCTAAAAAAAATGCGTATCCCATCGTATCTCAAAATTCTATAGTGAGCGAGAAAGTACTGCGCTAAGACATATTACGTTTTATCGGCTGAATATGTAATAAATTGGTTCGGCAAAATGTTTTCATGAAGGGAATCCTACGGCAAATATTTTATTCAGCAGATGCAGCTCTGCACCATTTTTTTTTAAAAAAAAACGAAGCATTATCGCTTCTTTCGTTTTTCCGTGATCGCGGCAAATGAGCTGCGAAATAAAATTAATTGGAAACGGCACAGTGTTCTGGCCAAGCGTACAGCATTCCTTAGGGATTTGTGTCGGCAAATATTTACTCTTGCTTAAAGCCTCAAAGTAACTTTGCAGATATGGCTTTGCAATATTTTTGTACTAGCCTGGTTTCCTGTTTCCTAGTCACTTGTTTCTAGTCACATTAACGATACAGTGGAAAACGACATATGCGGAATATACAAAATGTCATAGCGATCGGAAGAACAGCCACTGAGTGATTACAACATGTCTTCCGACTTGTCCAACATCACCACGGAAGATTTATACGGGCCGATCATATCAGTCGGTGTTTTCTCGCCGTAAAAATTGTACGAGTACTAAACGCATGCCTGCTGTTCTTTATTCTAAACAATCGCAGCCTGCGCACGCCTTTCATTTGGTAGATGATCAATCTGCTCTTGTCGAACATCCTGACGGACCCTTTGTACATGGTGGAATCTGGCAAGTGCGCTGGTTCTTCACATCAGTACTATGCAATATCAAGATCTATCTGGACCACACTGGCACTGCCCTTATTCTGTCCGCACACCTCCTAATCACATTAAACGGTATTTGGGCGTTGACTTTTCCGCTGAACTACCGCAACTACCATTCCACGAAGATCGCGTTGGGTATTTGCCTGGCAATGTGGACCTACTGTCATGTGCTACTTTCGCCGTTGTTATTGCAGGATCTTCTGTATTATCGCCCATATGCAGACGGTCATCGAATGCGAGGTGGTCAGCAGCGCCCAGCCAGTTCTGCGTCGCTTCTTGAAGATCTAGATCAATAATGTGCCCGTGCTGATTATTTTAGGGGCGTACCCGTATTTATTGTACAGAACTATGGATACCGGTAGAACACTCCCTCGTCAAACAGCTACCACTGAGAAGAGTGACTTACAAAGACCGGCGAAAGAAAACCGACGTGCGTTCTGGATCCTAATGGCTTCCGCGTCAACAGCGCTAATATGTTGGACCCCGGTTAAGATTATCGGGATTCTTAGGATTTTCGTGGATGTTACGGTGCCAGAGCTGCTGCAAATCATCCTGGGGGATATCCCCTTGCAGTTGATATTGGATCCCTTACTGTTTACGTTATCGTTCAAACACCTACGTAAGGCTGTCGGGTCTAAATTAGCACAAATATGCCATCGTTAAACTTGTCGGTAGCAATCTGTGCCGCTATGAGGACTTTTACCGCGTACTACTGCAGACTTAATGTGGCGACGGTTTATGGAAAGTTGCCAATCTACATAACTACAGCCGATTCGACCGAACGTCAGTGAAATACTGCCTTAATCCATCCAGATTTTTTTCTATTTTACCTTTTACCACCGACGAAAAGAATTCTCCCGTCATCCATTTGAAAATCGAAAAGTGTTCGAAAACGCCAGACGGTACAAACGATGACAACCTATCCGGGTATACAAAAGTAAACGAGTGTCCATCGATCTGGTTTTATCAAAGCCAATATATTATTATTGCGCTTAACTGCTTGTGTAGAACAGCAAATACAGATGTGCATGTGGGTGTATTTTTATATTAAAATCCCTGACTGAGGACTTTGCCCGCCATAGTGAACACTGAACAACAACTTGCGTAAAGACAAACACCAAACAGCGCCTGCCCACACCCAGGGACACCCTGAGCAGACAACAAACAAAAGCTGAAAACCAAACATACGCTTCCCGTTCCCTTTGGTCAAAAATAACAATTAGAAATGGCAACATAGAAGTTATTATGTATTAAATTTTAACTAGCAAGTAGTGTACCGGCGTTTGCAATCATTGTTATCTTGGTGGCTATTGCCCATTAAACTTATATTATATAGCCTGCTGTGATGGCGTTGATTCCAGATTCCAATGGAAGTGAAATCTCTGTGTTATGAGTTATGACATTAATTTGTCATTTTACGTAGTACACTTTATGCAGATTTTACGTAATACTTTTTACGTATACTTTATGTAGCTAGGCATTTTACGCCGACTGTATAGTGGTCGTGGGAGCCCAGCATAAAGTTGCCGGTTGTAACGCTCGTGCAGAGAATTAATCGATCGTATTGAACAGCGTTGTTATTATTTCCGCCGACTTCCGCTCACCTAACGGCTATATACGGTACACACAAAACCTCTCGGTGTGTTCGGCACCGGGCGATCATCCTACAAAGAGGTTAATTTTCTCTCTTTTTTTCCCACCAAATCAGGATTATTATCAGTTTCGGATAATTATTATGCTATCTGATAAATTTTCTCTATAATTCAAATAAAATTATTATGAGCTTATGACACAGCTTAAAGGAAATGCAATTACTCTATTTTTATTTTTCCAGCAGGAAATTGCCAAAAAAAGTGTTTTAGCGCTTTAACTTTAATCAATTGTTTTGCCAGCGTAGTAGTGTAGTATAATCATTCTTCTGATGTGTCTTTAACTTTACACAACTCTAAAGTTCTAAACCGTATCCTGACCGCGTCATACGACTTGGCGCAAAATGTCTGTATCGCTGCCAACCTCGCGTTAACAAAGGCACCACATTCATTGTTGATTTAACAGAGTCAAGTCGAAATGAGAAAAGGTCTGAATGAACACCGTTAAAGGTAATTCTGGCAAGCTGGGTGGACCCGTGGTGGGAACTGACGTAAGTTGAGGTATACTTCCAGATTTCTGAACAATTGGCCGCTTAAACCCACTTTCACCATTCAATATGAACAATGGTCACCCACGTATGTAAGTCGCCGCCTTTTGAGTAGTGAGATGTGATCACGTCACCCGTGCTCTCTTTCTCACTGTCTCATTCAGTTGCGCAACCGGATGTACATCGGTAGCCGTTCTTTCAGTAAACACGGAAGTGCAGCTGCATCCGGCAAAGTGTTGCTGGTGATCAGTTGTTTGCAGTGTATGTACAGCATCTGTTGTACATACGTTGCAAACAAGTGAACAATTGCAAAGAAAAATCGATGTACGGTATGTTGCACGCGAGAAATCTCTTAAAAAGGCGTCGAAATCCTGCTGTTGCATTACTTTCATTTTGATCCGACAACTGGTAATATTCTGCAATGCCTCATACTACTGTATAGGTAACGCTAACGGTGTCAACCATAATCAGCTCGCACAGGAAAATCGGACGGAACCACCAAAAAATGAATAGAAGATCTGCTTATCTGCTATCTCTTAGATGCCAGATATGAGATCTTTTATTCGTTAATTATTTAATCATCCCTTGTCTAAGTTCTAAGTGTGTGTGATAACCTTTCATAATACTTTCCCGATCTTCTTTTATTTCAGGTTTTATTGCACGTGCATTGCATTTTATTATTAGCAATATGGTGATGTTTTTTTGCAGCCGTTGTGGTCCTGTATCTCCAAAAATGCTTGCAGAAATTCAACAAATAACCAACCGAGAATTCAACCACAAATCAACTCGTCTGGTTTCTTGTTAAATTTTTTCAACCAACCGAGTTGATTTTCAAGTCAACCATCTGTTTTGCTGTTGCCGTGACGGTGAGACGTGTCTGCTTTGCGGCTTTGTCGTCTATAAGAGGTAAGAGTGGACACTTTTTTTGCAAAATATACAAATTGCTAGCTAGCGTCATTCAGCAGGTATAAATGACGATGAAGAAGTTTCACCATAATTTTACAATTAATTTTTTTATTTAATTAATGATTGCCAGTTTACCGATAGTTTTGACTTTGAATTGGATTGATCGATCAAGTGAGGATTGGCCGTGGTGAGCGTTATTCATATACGAGCACGTCGAAATCGGACACGTTGGCTAGTGAAATGTGGTTACTGGTTTACGGATAGCAGCGACTCCGGCGCTACGGCTTGCGCAGTGCATGCATGGTCAACTTTTATCGTTGAAGGAAGAGTCTTTATTCTCGTGACTTATTCCGTCATATTTGGGTTAACGTTTTGCATTCACCAGTTTCCATACGAGATCAGTTAGTGCATGGAAACTGGAAAATGCTAGTGCGTGACGGAATTTGACGTGCCATAAGAATATCCTTGACCCTTGTGACCTCATCTGGAAGCGATAATTCCTTATTCCCTTTTTTCCCTGCGTCTATCGATAAGTGTAGCTCGATACGATATTATTATGACTGTACAAGTACATGGGAATATTGCACAGTAATTACTGTACAAATTTACAAATACATACACTGTATTACAACGAGCGCTATTCGTCGTCAGCAACTCGTCAATACGCAGGTGCTGATCGATTAACAACCACGGCTGCGACTTACAGAGTACTGTCAGTGAAGAAATCACCAAAGAAGCAATATCTAGCTATTAAGCAAACACGGAGACGATCACCTATCAAAATAAGAGGAATATAAAGGTGACAGATTTTTCCACTTATTTTTTTACCTGTCATACAAAAGTCAAAAAATCGAGGTGTTTTGATTTCATACAGCATAGTGAGCAGAGCTCTGTTTTCTGTTGATTTTCATGTGTTTGTAATCTTAGTAAACAGCATAGTGAGCGAGGCGCGCTGTTTGAAAAGTGGCAGGGAAAGTCCGTGTTGCTATGAGCCTATGATGGCTTCCGGTCGTCGCCTAGTCGTACGGTTCCAACCGCACTAGGGTGGTGCAGCGGGGCAAATTAGGAATTTATAGTTCCGCTTTTCAACACGTCTGCAGTTATGATGTGATTTCATAAGTACCAATAGTCAAAAAACACCAGCAAGAAACATCAAGAAAAAACAATCTTTAACTTTAACTTCTCCTTTATCCTGTACGTACTTATACCCAGAAAACCCAGAATATTTCTTTCAGTAACAGTCAAGGCGCTTGTACAAAAAATCGGGGATTGTTCTGGGTAACATGCATCCGTTGTTCAACATGCCGAATACACACCAGGCAGTTTGTTGGAATTATCTCACTGAATAAATCCTCAAAATCGCCGTTTACAAACCATCCTAATTACGCAAAAAGAATTTTATTATTGGTTTAATGCTAGAAATGGGAGGAATTATTCATTAGCAGGCTCTCCGCCGCCGGCAGTCGGATTAGGATAAATCCACGTAGGTTGCGTCATCCCGTGACCTTTTCCCCAATCACGATAATACACTAGACACTTGAAACACGAAATTCTTGAAAAAACGGTCGAAGAAGGTGTGCCGGAAGTGTCACGGGCATCAGTCGGTATGCAAATGATGCACAACTGCACGTAAACGGTACGCTACTCTAGGAAATGTTAACTTCCTGTACACAAAAACCGGCGAACACTAAGTGCGATTGTGCAACGCAGTGAATAGCGCACAGTAAGGTTAGGTTTTATTTACATTTACTCTAAATTGGATGCAGCACTACTGTGTAATTATTATTACGAAAGCCCTTATTCGAAAACCCGGATCATACTGCTGTTATAAGAAACAAAAACTGAATGCATAAATAAAAGCATTTTGACAACGTTTTTGCTCGTCGTCTGCATGCCTACAGATACCTATACACAAAGTGAAAAGCAGCACCACTGCCCATCGAACCAAAACCTAGAAATACTGCGAATCAGCTGCTGGGTAGGTGAATCAGAATGTGTCACAAACTTAGTGTTGGGCCGGCCCGGCCCAGGGCCGCGGCCCGGGCCGAGGGTCAGCCCGGCCCTTTTGGGAGGGCCGCGCCGGGCCGCGGCCCTCGGCCCGGGGAGAAGGGCCATGGCCCGGGCCGTGGCCCGCTGTGGACGTTGAATATGGAAAAAGACGTAGAAAAACAAAAACTTTCATTGGGATTTACTGAAATTTAGTAGTTTTCGATGAGTTTTTCTTAATTTTCATAGCAGTAAACGT